TATATATTATATGTATATATATGTTAATACTATGTATAATATGTATATATATACACATATATGTCATATATATAATATATATATTATATATATATATATATTTATATATATATATATATGTATATATATATATGTATATGTCTATATATATATATATAATATATATATATATATATATATATATATATGTTATATATGGTATATATATATATATAATATATTATATATATATATATATATATATATATATATATATATATATATATATATATATATATATATATATATATATATATCTCTATATAATCTACTATATATATATATATATGTCTTATATATGTCTTATAATATATAATATATATATAATATTATATATATATTATAATATATATAATATTATTATATATTGTATTTACGTGCATACGTGCATACGGTCCATTAATACATACGTCCATACATACATACATACGTCCATACATACATACATGCGTCCATACGTACATACATACATACATACATACATACGTCCATACATACATACATACGTCCATAGTACATACATTACATACGTCCATAACATACATCATACATTACATCCATATACGTCCATACGTCCATCCATACTATTACATACGTCCATACGTCCATTACATACATACATACGTCCATACGTCCATTACATACATCATACGTCCATACGTCCATACATACATACATTTACATACGTCCATACGTCCATACATACATACATACATACATCGTCCGATCACATATACGCATACCATACCATACATATACATACATACGATAATACATAACAGTACCATAATCTGCATACATACATACATACATACTTAGAAATTAAACTAAACACTACCTATATTAACAGATTGCCATACCCATACATTATCATATACCATACATACATAGCATACCATAATACAGTACACTACTACATTACATACTACATGAAATTAAACCACTACCTAATAAATGCATTACAAATACATACATTAACTACACTACACATACATAACATATCCATACATACATATCCATTACATATCTTACATACATAAATTAAACTAATATTCACTATCCTAGGCATCATACATAGCATACATACATTACATACATTACATTACATGAAATTTAACCACACCTAATAAAATTAGCATACATACATACATACATTACATACATACATACAATACAATACATAACATACATACACATACACTACATACATACATACATACCATAAACATACATACATACATACATACATACATACATACATACATACATACATACATACATACATGAATGAAATTAAACACTTACCTAATAAAATCGCAGTTGCTTCGCAGTGAAGTAGGATTCGTACATACGTACATACATAGTACATAACATACATAAGTACATACATACAATAACATACATAAATAAAGTACATACATACATGAATTAAACGCTACCTAATAAAATTGCATTTCTTCGCAGTGAGTAGGATTCGAACCTACGCGGGAAGATCCCATCTGATTTCTAGTCAGACGCCTTAACCACTCGGCCATCACTGCTTTCTTGACGGTGTTCGTACAATTTACTGTATTATTTATGATTTGTCATATTTAATGTTTTTTTTTTTTCGTTCTGCAGTACGAAACTTGTGACGAATGACAATAAAAACATTTTTTCGTGATTTTTGTTGTAGATATTAATATATATATATATTTTGTAAAGATGAAAAAAATAGAAAGATAGCTTGCCGTTTTGCTGAAGTTAGAGTGAGGAGAGTGAGCTGGGTGAGGTTAGGGAGGAGAGTGAGCTGAGTGAGGTTAGGGAGGAGAGTGAGCTGGATAGGTTGGAGAGCTGAGTGAGGTTGAGACAGGAGAGTGAGGTGGATGAGGTTTAGGGGAGGAGAGTGAGGTGGATGAGAGGAGACCGGGGTCGTGGGGTCGCTGGCTGGGGTCGATGAGCTTTTGGTCCAAGCTCTTTCTGCAGATGCCGTTACCGCCGTCGTCTTATGAGCGGGAGAGCGGGGCTGTTTTAGGAGACTGCTTGGTGTATTTGTCTTCTTATTTCTTTTTCTCTTTCTCTCTTTTTGTTATTGTTTATTCATCTCTCTCTTCTCATCTCTTCTCCCTCTTTCTCTTTCTCTTTCTCTTTCTCTTTTCTCTGTCTCTGTCTCTGTCTGTCTCTGTCTCTGTCTCTGTCTCTGTCTCTGTCTCTGTCTCTGTCTCTGGTCTCTCTCTCTCTC